ATCTAGATGTATCCCAGGCGTGGAGACGAATTGACCTGTCACGCTTGTTTTTCAATTTATCGTCAATGCGGCTGTTTTGTCTAGGCTGCAACCGAGTTCGCAAATCTTCGGTTCGAGTCATGCCAGGGGGCCAACAGGGGCCAAGAATTACTCATCCTTTTTATATACAGTTAGGCTGAGCCGTGAACACAACAACATGAGTCTTCTTTTGAATTAATCTGTCAGAGAATCTGTCTCCATGTCTACCCTCGAAACCATCATTTGATTTTTTGGTGTACACAATTTACTGTTGTCTGAAGACTGAGCAAACGTGAAGAAAATATGGTCTCTAGACGTAGTGGCGTAAATCTCACCAATATAGTGCGAGAAGATGGCTTTGATCTGGCCGAAATTGATCCGAGGATAGATGAGTTGAGAAGCTGTGACTGCGAATGACTGTGGATCCACCCGAGACTGGCGGTTCCAGTCTGGAATCTGAGGTCGTCGGTGGAGGCCTGACCGACCGGAGGTTGAACAATCATGTGCGAAGAAGAGCACTCAATGGCTCGAGGCCAATGGGAAAGTGAGTACAAGCAATAGCAGTGGCAGGACCGGTTATTGGCGAATCCATCCCTCTCCCCGATCTGGTCGTCAGAGGGCCAGGTGGTGAAGTCTTGGTCAACTGAGAGCAGTATCGACGCGAAAGGACGGGATCTCCGGTCCGGACAACGAGGCCTGGTGGTCCGCGATGCTCATCACTAGCCTACACTATCATCAGATGTCCATTTTCCCTTGTTCCCGTCGTGGCCAGCCTCCCAGCTCTTAGTCCCCTGGCACGAGAGCACTTGACTGGTCGAGCCGCCTCTACCCTCCCTCGCGTCTTTAAAGGTACTAAAAGCCTGACGATACAAATGGAGCTCGCCCTGCATGCATCCATTTGGTACATACGACTAGATGCACATGCTTATACAACACACACACACATACACACACTACAATATCGTTTAAGGCGCCGCAAGATATGGACACGAATCAATACAGATTTCGCACCAGAAAGCGGTCTTGGACTGGCCGGCTGGTTGGCTGATTGGCTGGCTGGCTGGCTGGCTGGTTGGCTGGACTGTGGGTTGACTGGCTGCCTGAACGGCAGTCTGATCGGCTGGCTGGATGGATGGGTGAATCTGGTGTTCGGGCGGCCACAAGGATGAGACAGGTGGATAATTGCATCGTATAGATTTGTCTACGAATATTTGAGTGTCGTTTGCTTATCCGCCTCGGGTCAAACAAGACTTTTACTTTAGGCAAAGCGTATAATTACATGCCATGAGGGGCAGGAAAGCGGCTTAAGTAGACTGCTCCCGGATAGCCGAAAGAGAAATCTCTTCCGAACTACGACGAAATGGAGTTGGCTCCTGCGACGAGACAACGAGCCTAAATCGTCACAAATCAGCTGAGCAAGCCGAGACAAAGGGAAATTTGAAGTACAGACATGGTCATCCTCATTAAATTAACCCTCTCCGCATAAACGTCGGACTAAAGATATCCGCAATCGCTACGGTCCTTCTAGTCATCCGCGTAATTAATGCCACCATTATAAACATCCTCACTAATATCACCATCATCATCATCATCATAGTCAATAAAACAGACACCATGAAGATACCAACGAGAAAGAGAATGAGAATAATTCATATCCCCTCTGCCGAGGAGGATTATCTCTTTCTGGTACCAGTAAAGCCAGGTTACTGATAAAGTCGATGAAGTCAACATATAGTTGTTATCCCAATCGAAACTACCAGGAGACCTTGCATACAATTGTGTGAAACTTCACTCGACAGTCCTTCGCCAATTTATGTGGTATTAGGTGAATACAGCTCATATTCACATTCCACTAGTGATTAGGAAACCTATTTAAATTAAATTAAAAATGTACATATTAAGATTTAAATGGCGTGTCCTACTGTTCGGTCTCAGTATCCTTTAGCTTTATAGTGTTGGTTCAACCTCGTTTTCGCAACTTGGTCTAAGCGTCAGGGAGCCCGTGTGGGTCGTACCTATTCACGTATCCTCTGCCATAATATTCGTGATTTCCAGCATTGGACCATTGGCTGGATACATTCCCAGAGTTACAACTAATCAAAGTCGCAAGTAAAGTCCACTTTACCAATTTTCTGCTCAACCGTTGTGGTATCACTTCTCGTTCTTTTTTTTGTTTCTACCTTGTAGTGTCGCATCTCTTTCTCTCAACCTCATTTCGCATGGCCAATCAACTTATTCACATGATTCTGTGCTTTCATGTCCTCCAATGTCGCCTACGAGTGTTTCGCTACAAGTGGGTTTAGTGAAGCGTGATCATTTCCAACAGTGTTACTAGGGGCTGTTTGCAGGTCTCCTACTTAAATTCTCCCCCCATCCCCGCCCCCTTTTTACATACTCACTACATAAGTTGTTCTCACACCAGTTCGTTTAAGGTGGTAGTAAAATTTACCCACCATTATATGACTAGAGCTGATGAGTTGCATTAACTTTCGCATAGTCTTACTTTCCCAAAAGGTATTCTCACCCCGGCTGGACCCCCAGCGGGAGTCAAACCATGACAGTACAGCATGTGAGCTCGACATGTTGTCCATTACGCGACATTGCTACGAGGGCATTTGGATCACAGGGCAGATGAGAATTTCAAGGAATGTCAGGCATTCTCCATATAGCATTCTGTATTGGGATTGTCGATGAAGCAAACTTATATTTGCTACTTTCATGAGGGAGTACCTACTCACTTATCTTAAATCTGACTGCCTAAGAGCATTTGATTCCCGTCCTCGATTACGCCATATTCGAGGATTTAGAGCCGATGATGCCCATGTCCATGCCAATGCACATGTCCGTGCATGGGAATTTTCCTCTCCCTATACTTTAAACCAATGACTGGATTATCCTCTCCATAGTCCCCATCCACATTTTGTCTCATTCTTTGAGGCCCTATGCCCAGCTTACGTCATAACCGATGGTGTGATAATTAACCGTTTCCCTTTTTTCCCTTTAAATCGCGAAAAGCATACTCCTTTTGTCTCTCTAGTTGACATTCCCATCTAATCCTTGGGTACTGGGCTGATGTTAGTGTATGTGTGTGTTAGCTGATATCCCCCGTTGGCAAGCATGTCACCGGTCATCTCTCCCTCAGACAGAGCTACGAAAAATACACACAACACCCACGCACGCACACAAACTGGTGACCTCTATCTGGCCCACCTATACCTTTAACCTTACATTTCCTATCCTACATTTCATATCCCACAGATGAACAACCTGGGTAAATTTTTTTGGCCAATTTCATGTTTGACTCCTCTAACTGCAGTCGCCTTTTCTTGACATTCCTTTGTTCTTCATGAGCCGTGCCTTGGAGATGTCGCTTCCTGTCGTTGAACAGATGTCCTGGGTCCACACGCCTTCTTTTTGCTGTCTTCGGTGAACCTCCAAACCTGCTCAGAAAGTACATGAAATTATCGGTGACTGACTGCTGTTCAGCCCGTATGAGGCTGTTGCATTCCAGTCAATTGTGCAGCGGGTAATGACGATGTGTTCAGCCAACTCCGATCTTTCCGTATCCATTTTTCTGCATAGTTACGGATGTTCTTTGATCCTTGTGCAAATTGCCCTTGCAGTCTCTCCGATGTATTTTTCTTTATAGTTTATGCTGTAAACTCCGGAGCCCTTCATTTTGTTGACTTCTTCATGTTGTGTGGGCAAGGTGGTGAAGAGAGTTGTCCTTTCCTTCAGGATTGTACGAATGTTCCATTTCCCGAGTTTTGGTCGTAGCTTGTAAACTTGTAGACATATCCTTTGGTTTTCCTCTATTCCTCTTGCGTCCCTTCCATAATCTCCGTCCTTCCATCTTTTCATCGCCATCCGTATGTTGCAGTATATTGCTTCTTCTGGAGATATCAGTTTCCGGAAAAACATCAGAGTTAGCTTTCCCAGAACTCATAATCACTTAGTCGTAAGTTTCTTATGACCATACTCCGCGGTATTCCAATCGTCATATCATAAGTATGGTTCAACTGGAAGTTAAGATTCATTCCAGCATGAGATTTTTTAGGAAACGTTTTTTCTTGAGCCTTTCCTCATAGTGAATGACCTTCACCTCAAAGAAGGGTAAGTGTCCGTTCTCTTCCATATCCATGGTCAATTTGACTCTCTTCAAATTCACTCTGCCTCCAAGATGTCATTTTCTTAATTCAAGATCTCCAGTAGTACGATGAGTGATTGTAAGTGGGAAGAATCAGAGATAATCTCGTGTAATGCTCGAGCAGACTTGTAGATTGCACGAAGACATCAAAAAGAAGACGCTTGGACCCTGGACAAATGTTCAATAACAGGAAGAGACACCACCAAGGAGCCGCTCATGAGGGACAAAGGGAAGTCAGGAAAAGGTGACTGCAGTGAGAGAAGTCAGACGTGCAACTGGCCATAAAATTTTCCCAGAGGGTAGTATATGAAATTAAGGCCTAAAGGTACAGATTACCTAGATAGAGGTTATCTGTGTGTTTGAGTAAGTGTCGTGTGCATTTTTCATATCTGTGTCGGAAGGGGAGGTGACTGATGTAAGGCTTGACCACAGAAGGATACCCACCAACACACAATCCCAGTACCCTAGAATTAGATGGGAATGTCAACTAGAGAGACGAAAGGAGTGTGCTTTTCGCGATTTAAAGGGAAAAAAGGGAAGCGGTTATAACTTAAGACGGGCATAGGGCCCCAAAGAATGAGACAAAATATGGGTGGGAACGATAGAGAGGATAATCCAATCATTGGTTTGAAGCCTAGGGAGAGGAAGATTCCCAGGCACTGACATGTGCATTGGCGTGGAGATGGGCATCATCTGCTCTAAATCCTCGAATATGGTGTAATCGAGGACTGGAATTGAATTCAGCGAAATTGTAGACATCTAAGCGGTGATTTTGATGTTCAGCAGCGGCAAATTGACAAGTGGGTAGGAAAAAAAGGAGGAGTAGATCAGGAGGCCTGCAAATGGCATCTGGTACCTTTGGTGGAGATGCTTACTCTTCCCTAAATCTACTTGTAGCGAGACGTTCTTGGGCGACATTGGAGGAAATGAGAGCCCAGAATTGTGTGAATAAGTGGATGGGCCATATGAAGATGGGTTAAGAGAAAGAGATCCGGTACTAGAAGATAAAACAAAAATAGTAATGAGGAGTGATACCACAACGGTTGTACAGAAAATTGGTCAAGA